TCCCTGCGGCCAGTTCCCAGCAGGGGACACACCAAAGGCAACCATACACTGATGTTTCTCTCCCTCTCTCCTTCCCTTCCCCTCTAAAGATAAATAAATAAAATCTTAAAAAAAGAATAATTTCAGAACACATTTGTTTAAAAAAAAAAGAATTCCAATTTCACTGTGCTGTTTGAGTATGTTGAAGTAGGTACTGTCAGGGTGTGTAGAGTGGTGTGTGTGTGTCTGTGTGTGTTAGGGGTCAGTGCTGGGGAGCATTGGGACAAGATGGAGTTTGCTTAACAGAATATGACAAGTCTTTCCTACTTCCTGGAACCTAGGGAAGTCAGTGGTGCTCCTCAATCTCTCTCCTGTAGTAGTTCCACTTAGGATTAACCTGGAATGAACAAATGCTTACAAAATTATCAAGTCAATCTCTATCAGGGATAATTGATCATAATGGAAGGTAGACTTTATGATCCAACTCCCTTACATGAGCACTGACTCTGTGCACAGACTATACTAGGTATTTTGTATACATGAATTCATTTAATCCTTACAAGAATCCTGGAAGATAGTGTTACTAATTTTTTAAAGATAGATTTATTTATTCATTCATTCATTTATTTATTTATTTTAGAGAGAGAAGAAGGGAAGTAGAGAGGGAGGAAAACATCAATGTGTGGTTGCTTCTTGCACGCCCCCTACTGGGCATGTGGTTTGCAACCCAGGAATGTGTCCTGACTAGGAATCCAACCAGAGACCCTTGGTTTGCAGGCCAGCACTCAATCCACTGAGCCATACCAGCTAGAGCAGCATTACTAAATTTTCGATAATAAAACTGAATCACAGAGATGCTGGGAGACTTACTTTGAAGGACATAGTGAATACAAAGCAGAACCAGAACCCACAATTTCAAATTTTGCCCATATTTATTCCATGCTGACTCTATGAATGAAGGTGCTATATTTGGTTCCACTAAAGGAACACTTTGACATCTAATTTTTTGGCATCTAGTTGGGCACAGAAACCTAACATGTAAGCCGAGAGAAGAATCCTTATTTCCCCCTAAGAACTCCCTGTCTGAAAGTTAAAGACAAAGGCCAGGGAGATTGAGAGAAATAGGGAAAAGGAGAGATTCACAGGAAGATAAGGAGGTGAGTGGAGAGGGATAGAGGAGGGGAGAGGGAAGGAGGGAGAAAGGAAGAGGGAAGAGAGGAGAGGGGATGAGAAGGGAAGAGAGATGAGGAGAGAGACAGAGAGAGAGAGAAAGAGAGAGAACATATAAGAACACAAGATCAAAATGTTCCCCATGGGCCATCCTCAATTTGGGTAGCAGACTGAAGAGAAACAGTCAAGGCTTTGGTAGGAAGATTCATGTTGATTGACCAAGAGCTCTGTTTTTTAATGTGTTTTTTATTTCTCACGAGCTTCAGAAATGTCCTGCTTTTAAAAAATATTTTATTATTTATGCTATATCATCTGTCCCAATTTTCCCCCTTTGACCCCTCTACCCAGCCCCCTTCACTCTCTCAGGCAATCCCCTCACCATTCTCCATGTCTATGGTTCATTCATGTATGTTCTTTCGCTAATACCTTCCACTTCTTTCATCCAGTCCCCTCTCCCCCTTCCCCTCTTATAGCTGTCAGTCTGCTCCATGAGAAACATCTTGCTTTTGCCTCCAATTTCCATTCAGCCTGCTTTGGATGACTCTCCTCAGAGTTTTATTTTACTTTCTGCACTCCTAACTATAATAGCCTTAGGCAGCTGTGGACCTCAGTTTTTTCATCTTAACATGGAAAATAATATTAACAGTAATCATAACAATAGCAAAAATAATAATAAATATTTGTTTCGTAGGATGGTGACAATGAAACTTAAATACATAATGTGTGTGAATGGTAACACAGTTTTCAAATATTACACTTTGTTAAAACTTCTCCATCCAATGCAAAGGCATCGTTACTGGAGAAATTTCACAGTCTAAATATCATGTTTTTTTTTTCTTTTTGTTTTTTTTTTTTTACTTTTTTTATTGATTATGCCATTACATTTGCTCTATTCCCCCCCTCCATTCCCCTCCACCCTGCATACCCCTCCCCCACCATTTCCCCCTTTAGTTCATGAACACGTGTCTCAAATTTTTTAGATTCTGTATTTCCCCTGCTATTCTTACCCTCCCCCTATCTATTTTCTATCTACTGTCTATGCTACTTATTTTCTGTACCTTCTCCCCCTTCCCCTCCTCCCACTCCCCTGTTGCTAACCCTCCATGAGATCTTCATTTCTATGGTTCTGCTCCTGATCTAGCTGTCCTCTTAATTTGTTTTTGTTTTAGGTGTGGTTCTTAATAACTGTGAGTTTGCTGTCCTTTCACCATTCATCTTTTTTATCTTCTTTTTCTTAGGTAAGTCCCTTTAACATTTCATATAATAAGGGCTTGGTGATGATGAACTCCTTGAATTTGATCTTATCTGAGAAGCACCTTATCTGTCCTTCCATTCTAAATGAAAGTTTTGCTGGATAGAGCAATCTTGGTTGTAGGTCTTTGGATTTCATGACTTGGAATACCTCTTTCCAGCCCCTTCTTGCCTGTAAGGTCTGTTTTGAGAAATCAGCTGATAGTATGATGGGAAGTCCTTTGTAGGTGACTGTCCCCTTAGCTCTTGCTGCTTCTAGGATTCTCTCCTTCATTTTAATCTTGGCTAATGTAATGATGATGTGCCTTGGTGTGTCCCTTCTTGGGTCCAACTTTTTTGGGACTCTCTGAGCTTCCTGGATTTCTTGAAAGTCTATTTCCTTTGCCAAATTGGGGAAATTCTCCTTTATTATTTGTTCAAATAAGTTTTCCACTGGTGGCTGTGCCTTTCCCCCTTCTGGGACCCCTATAATTCGGATGTTGGAACATTTAAAGATGTCCTGGAGGTTCCTAAGCTTCTCTTCATTTTTCTGAATTCTTATTTCTTCATTCTTTTCTGTTTGATCATTTTTTTTCTTCCTTCTGGTCCACTCCCTTGGTTTGAGTCCCAATTTTCTTTCCATTACTATTGGTTTCCTGTGTATTTCCCTTCATTTCAATTAGTTTAGCTTCCATATGTTTCTCTAATTTGTGACTAAAATCAACCAGTTCTGTAAGGATCCTGATAACCAGTGTTTTGAACTGTGCATCTGAAAGACTGGCTATTTCTTCATCGCTTAGATCTATCGGTTCTGGGGCTCTGAGTTGTCCTAGAGCCATTTTTGGTCTATTCGTGCTGTTAAGTAAGCGGATCGAGGCCTTAGTTGTTTACCAGGACGGGGAGACCCAGGTCGCTGGTTTGTGACGCTGTGTGTGGGGGTGTGGTCAGAGAGGGAGTGATGGCGGTCCTCTCCGCTAGCCCAGCCCGTCCAGTCACACCACACGGGCTTGTTTATCTGATTGGAATTGTGCGAGCCTGTTGCCCCGAGCAGGCTTCGCTTCTCACTGGTTTCTCCGCATGCAGGTGCGTGACCTACCTGCAGGTGCGCGACCGACCGCAGACAGCCCTCCGGGCCTCTTCCCTGTGCGCTCGCGTAGCTAGCTCGCTCTCCATCAGCGCTTTCGGCTGCTTGCGTGCTCACTGCGCACCACCCGGGAATTTTTTCTTGCTAACCTGTTCCGCTGCTGGCTTCACTCCTCATTCCGGTCCAGCTGAGTATCTAGTTGTCCTTTGGACTCCGTATTGTCGATTTTCCATGTGGCTTGGTTGTGGCTGCTGTTAAAAATAGTTGTTCTTAGATTTGGTTGTGCACAGAGGCAAGGTGGTTCCTCCACCTACGTCTCCATCTTGGCGGAAGTCCTCTAAATATCATGTTAACTATTACACCTCAGAACCTCACCTATAAAGTGTTCACTGTCTATAGAGTTTGTGTCTCAGTGTTCAGGAAAAGTGATTAGCTGCTTTGTTCCTATTACAAATCAGCTGACATAGCCATTTCTCAAAGGGTAAATCTACTTCTGATGTGGTGGTCTTTATTTCATTTTGTGTCTTAAAATTTTTCATCAAGGAAGATATGTAGAGGAACAAGGCTGTTAGAAATGACTTCAGATGATTAATTAGCACTCATTACTCCTCAGAAAGTCAGTAATTACTTCCTTAGATTTTTGAGACATTTTTGAGAGAAGCTTTGGTTTTAGAGCAGAATACCCACATCTTAATAGAATGTACATGTCCATGTCTTCTCACACCTCTACCCCAAATCTGTCTACTACCTGTGTGAATTCTATATTTTCTAAGAATCTATCGCTAGATTAGTAGAGTTTAACATTTTGTAAGTTCTTTTGGAATAATCCATTTTTTAAGTTTATCAATTGTCATTATAGTTAGCTTACCAGAAACTAAACAAATCAGCACTTATTGTGAGGTAATTAAGTGTGTCATTAGATAAAAGAGTAGCATCCAAAGCAGAAGTAATTTAACAAGAGCCAAATTAATCTTAAAACTTTTTTAAAAGATTTTATTTATTTATATTTTAGTGAGGGGGAGGGAGAGAGAGGGGGAGAGAAACATCAATGTATGGTTGCCTCTCACATGCCCCCTACTAGGAACCTGGCCCACAACCCAGGCATGTGCCCTAGACTGGGAATTGAACCAGTAACCCTTTGATTCTCAGGCTGGCACTGAATTCACTGGGCCACACCAGCCAAGACAAGAAACAAATTATTCTTTATTCAAATAACTGAGTATAGATTGCAGATGACCTTCAAAATGACAGAACACACACATACAAAATCTCAAACATAACCTCAAATTTCCCCAAGCTTGGGACAATGGTGTTGCTTGTTTTTCATTCTTTTTTGGGTGGCAGTGGTACTGTGAAGTTTACTGATGGTGCATGGCAAGGCAGGGCTCTTTAAGCTCCTCCCCTCTTCAGGGAGTCTAGGATAAAACCTGGAGGTCAGGAGATTCTCAGTGTGTTTGGGGATCAATTTGGGGCAAATACTCCCCAGTAGTTGAGGGACTCTTTTCATTATCACTGGGGCTGATGGTCCAGGGGGCTCTTATGCCTTGGAGGCCATGTGGACTACAAGGTCCACCATCCTGTCTCTGTAGCCAAATTCATTGTCATACCAGGAAATGAGCTTGACAAAGTGGTCATAGAGGGCAATGCCGGCCCTGGCATGGAAGGTGAAGGAGAGGGTGTCACTGTTAAAGCCACAGGAGATATCCTGGTCCTGAGTATAGCTCATGATGCCCTTGAGAGGGATCTCTGATACCTGCATCACTACTTTCTTCATGTCATCATATTTGGCAGCTTTCTCCAGGTGGCAGGTCAGATGCACAACTGACACATTGAGGGTGGAGGCACATAAGACCATGTCAGTGAGCTTCCCATTCAGCTCAGGGATGACCTTGCCCACAGCCTTGGCAGCACCAGTAGAAGCAAGGATGATGTTCTGGGCAGCCTCTTGGCCATCCCACCACAGCTTGCCAGAGGGCCCATCCAGTCTCCTGGGTAACAGTGATGGTATGGACTGTGGTCATGAGTTCCTCCACAATGTCAAAATTGCCATAGATGACCTTGGACAGGGGGGCCAAGCAGTTGGTGGTACAGGAGGCATTGCTGACAATCTTCATGGAGTTCTTGTACTTGTCATGGTTCTCACCCATCACAAACATGGGGGCATCCTCAGAAGGGGCAGAGATGATGACCCCCTTGGTTCCACTCTTTAAGTAAGCCCCAGCCTTTTCCACAGTGGTGAAGATACCAGTGGACTCCACAGCCTATTCAGCACCAGCATCATCCCATTTGATATTGGCAGGATCTTGCTCCTGGAAGATGGAGATGGACTTTCTATTGATGACAAACTTACCATTCTCAGCCTTGTGAGTAGAATCATACTGGTACAAGTAGACCATGTAGTTGAGGTCAATGAAAGGGTCATTGTTGGTGACAACATCCACTTTGCCAGAGTAAAAGGCAGCCTTGGTGACTAGGCACTCAATACGGCCAAACCTGTTCATTCCGATCTTCACCATCATGGCACAGGGTTGAGGCTGGCGCTGCTCAGGAAGACGCAACTGTCTGTTGAACAGGAAAAGCAGAGAACCATTTTTTTTAAATTATATTTTATTGATTATGCTATTAGAGTTGCCCCAATTTTTCCCATTTGACCCCCCTCCACCCATTCCCATTATTCCCTCAGGCATTCCCCACACTATTGTCCATGTTCATGCATCATACATATGTGTTCTTTGGCTATTCTATGTCTTATGCTGTACTTTACATCTTCATGACTACTCTGTAACTACCAATTTGTGCTTCTTAATTCATCGCTTTTTTTGCCCATACCTCTGATGTATATCCCACCTGGCAACCATAAAAATGTTCTCTGTATTTATGATTCTGTTTTCTTTTCTTTTTTTTTTTGGAGGAGGAATTCAATTGTTAATAGATATGTACTTGTTGCCATTTTATTCATATTTTTCTTCTTAAAGGAGACCCTTTGTTATTTCATATAATGCTGGTTTTGTGATGTACTCATTTAACTTTTTCCAGTCTGGGAAGCTCCTTATCTGTTCTTTGATTCTAAATGATAGCTTTGCTGGGTAGAGTAACCTTGGTTATAGGTCCTTGCTTTTTATCTCTTTGAATATTTTATGCAAGTTCCTTCTGGCCTGCAAAGTTTCTTTTGAGAAATCAGCTGACAGTCTTTTTTTTATTGTTCTTCAAGTACATTTGTCTCCATTTTTACCCCACCATGAACTCCCACCACACCCATTCTGGCCTCACACCCTTGAACCTACCCACTTTGGCTTTGTCCATGTGTCCTTTATACATGTTGCTTGATGGCCCTTCCCCTATTATCCCTTTCCCCCTCCTCTCTGGTTACTGTCAGTTTGTTCTTTATTTTAATGTCTCTGGTTGTATTTTGCTTGTTTTTTCTTTAGTTGATTAGGTTGCACCTATAGGTGAGATCATATAGTATCTCAGATATTCCATGCCTCAGCATTTTTGCTGATATGTGCCCTAGAGCAAGGGATATAAAGGAAAGAATAAACAAATGGGGCTTCATCAAAATAAAAAGCTTCTGCACGGCTTTGAAATGAAAAGGGAACTAACCATATGAGAAAATGTATTTGCCAGTGATACCTGAGACAAGGGTTTGATCTCCAAAATATATAAACAACTCATCTGACTAACACCAGGAAGGCAAATAATCCAATTAAAAAATTGGTGAAGGACCTAAACAGACACTTCTCCAAGGAGGACATACAGAGGGCTCAGAGACATATGAAAGAATGCTCAGCATCACTAGCCATCAGAAAGACACAAACTAAAACCACAATGATGTACCATTTCACATCAGTCAGAATGACCATCATAAACAAATCAACAAACTCCAAGTGCTGGCAAACTTGTGGAGAAAGGGAACCATAGTATACTGTTGCTGGGAATGCAGACTGGTGCAGCCACTGTGGAAAACAGTATGGAATTTCTTCAAAAAACTAAAAATGCAACTGCCTTTTACCTGGCAGTTCCACTGGTGCTATTATATCCTAAGAACCCTGACACACCAATCTAAGAGAAGCTACACACCCTAATGTTTATAGCAGCGCAATTTACAATAGCCAAGTGCTGGAAGCCACCTAGGTGCCCATCAGTAAATGAGTGGATCAAAAAATTGTGGAACATGTACACAGTGGGATACTATGCAGAAGAAAGAATGAAGGACCTCCTACCCTTCATGACAGCATGGATAGAACTGGAGAACATTATGCTAAGTGAAATAAGCTAGGCAGTGAAAGACAAATACCATATAATTTTACCTTTAAGGGGCCCATAATCAACAAATCAAACAAATGAGCAAAATAGAGACAAAGACATGGAAATACAGAACAAACCAATAGTAACCAGAGGGGAGGTGGGGGAGTAGAATAATGAGGAAAAGAAGGGGAAAGGCCATCAAGGATTATGTATAAAGGACCCATGGACAAAGACAACTGAGGGGTGGAGGATTGAATGTGGGAGGTAGGGGTGAGTAGTGTGGGGGAGTGTAATGAGGGTAAAATGGGGACAACTGTAATTGAACAACAATAAAATTTTTTAAAGCCATGAGGTCTTTAGCCACTTCTGCACCTTCTTCAGTATGCTTGCCCTGCTGGTAAACTTGCTCTATGACTTCAGCTCTCCCTAGCATGTGGTCTTCCCAACTTTCCCAACACCTACATCATCTGCTAGAGTAGATCATATCCACTGCTTAAAGACAGGTTCTCTCGACTGGTGAGGATTAAAGCACATGGTTCAAAGGTGGTCCCATTTATTCAGCTGAATGCTTTCCCTTGACTTGGTGACTCAGTGAGGGTGGACTACCTAACTGTTCTTTATGGGCTGTACTTTTTTTTTGACAGGCTTACCCATTTCACCAGCATAGTTGGCTTAGTAGTTTGTTCTGGGTTGTTTTGACACCCTTGCTTTGGCCTCCTTGCTCTGCTATCACATCATTCCCTCTACTCTGTGCTCTTTACCGGCACTCTTCTTTCTATGGAACTGGTTTCAGGTTTTCTCATAGCTGTTGGATTCTTGAAGGTACCCAGCCCTTATCAAGCAATTCTTTTGATTTGATCTAGAGTTTCAATCCCTTTCTACATCCTCATTCTCTGTTGCATTGCTCACAACTCCAGAAACCTACAAAACTATACTCCCAGAGCTCTTTTTCTCCATCTCTTCTCTGCACCCCTGGGCCGTCCTTTTGTTTCTAGCTCAGTGGTTCCTGAACACAAAGGTGCACCTAAGAACAGGAGTTAACACAGCATCCACTTCTCTGAAGCTCACTCTTGTCCAACTCTTGACCTCTTTGATGTCTAATCTGCTTCTGTAAACTACTGGAACTAATTATGTAGATTAGGAGCTTGCATGCAAATTCAAATAATCACGAAGGGTTAGAAAAATAGGAAATTTAAGTGGTTTTTAGTATACATCAGATCCTTTACATTAAGCTTCTGACACCCTGACTATAGTCTTTGTTGCTTAAAAAAATGTATCATAAACATCTTGAATTTGTGATAATGTAGCTAGGATTTGGTCCCTTTTTTTTAATAAAGAGATTTTGGTTATAACATAAATTGACTTGTAGCATTTTGACAACCATGTACTATGACCTGTTAGCAAAGTCTATCCAGTTTTTATTTCCATCTTTATCCATCAGTAGCCTTTATGAAAGAAGGAAAAAATAATTTTCAAGCTATTATAGCTCTTTCAGCAATGTGTCAAGTTACATGAAAATTATAAATAAAATAGTCATTACTGAGTTGGTACAGACTTTGAGAGGTTCTCTATTACACACTTTACCTGTATCCAAGGCAAGTGCAGTCCTGGGTTTAGGTATCAGCTTGGCTCCTTCTTAACTGTGTGACCTCGGATATTGACTTAACTTCTCTGAACCTTAATTTTTTTCATTTGTAAAGTTGTTTCATTACACAAGAGTTGTTTTGCACATAGCAATAGAAGCTTAAATTTATTTAGCCTTTAGACAGCAAGCACTGTGCTGAATTGCTTTACAAACATTATCTCATTTCATTCTCATAACAGCATTCAAGACATATATTATTATGACCAGTCCCTAATTTTACAAATGAGAAAAATGAGATTCATGAAAATGAAGTGATTTTTCCTAAAGTCAACCAACTTATAAGTGATTGAAACTTGAATCCAGATGATGGTGTGAAGATTTCCAATGCACTTTGCTCTTAACCACTGCAAGGTTTTGCTGTGAGAACAAAGTGAGACAAAATTGAGAGGGCATAAAAAATGATAAGGGCATAAAAATGCTATATATTTATTTATTACTGTTATATCCATGATTACTTCTCTGAAGTAATCATGTGTCATAATTTTATTTTATTTTTTCTTTTTAAAAATTATTTTATTGTTGTTCAATTACAGTTGTCTGCATTTACCCCACACCACTGCCCCCTCCTGAAATCTCCACCACCTTCCCCTGATTCAACCCCCTTGGTTTTGTCCATGTGTCCTTTATAGTTGTTCCTGAAAATCCTTCTGCTCCTCACCCCATCATCCCCTCCCACCTCCCTCTGGTAACTGTCAGGCTGTTCTTAACTTCAGTGTCAACCAAAGTTGTTGAAATAGTATCATTTTTCTTAGCTTCCTTGAAGCAATAGATTCTGAAAGCAAGGAAGGAGTCATGGAAGGGCTATGAAATGTGACTGTATAGAACTAAGACCCCAACCTCATTGATTCTAATATTTGTGCTCCTATTTGATATTTCCAAATGATAGAAGACACTACACATTCACTACTGTTTTGAGGGTAACTTGATGCAGAGGGAATCATTTATCCCTTCACTTGAGGGCTGTTGTGACCTGTGTCTAATTATTTTGATGTTTTTCTTAATTTTAGTGACTCCTGACTCTGTTTTAGATACTGCTCCCAAAGATTCTACCTACAATGATCCCCATGATAGTCATTAAATTATCAAGAAATATAAAGCACATTTAGTACTATTTAGCTTAAAAGAAATGCTTACAGGCTTGTTAAAGGTAAAAGAGAAGTTATAAACTCAAAGAATTTCCACTAAAGCCTCCTTGTTAAGAGCCAAGGCCTGCCTTATGAGTCTCTACACTTCTACTTACTAGTTTTGTGACCCTGAGCAAGATATCTAATGCCATCAAGTCTAAGATGTCATCAATTATATGAGATATAATTATTTTACATAATAATACATAAGAAAAGAAATTTCCAAATAAACAATGACATAATGCCTTAGCAATAGTGCTGAGTATCTTGCAAACACAAGCTTCTCATTGCATGCCTTGAAATTTCTTGCATTTCTGTGTGGTGTGATTTGACAATTTGGCCTTTGATTGCTTTAATCCTTTTGGATATAGCAATAACAAAATATAACAAAGTTTTCTTTTTGTGGGCATCTTTCTTTCAAATTTTTGTGTAAATCACTTAATTGTCCCTTTGTCAAAAATAAGAAATTGTGGACATTCCATTAGTTTCGCTAATATCCAAT